TCAAGTCCTGACTGGAGTATTCTGTGAGGCCAGATCATCTCAGTCAGCAATCTTGAGGCTGTTCTGGATATAGAATTCAGAGGAAATTGCAGCAGAGGTGCTCTGAAGCATTGGATCATCTGGGTCATCTAGTCCCATTAGAGATTTTTCAGGGGGGTCTTTCTTGATCAAACATTATTTTTCTTAATCCAGAATGAATCCACAGTCTCTTATTTCCTGTGAAAACAAAAGCAAAATCTCTTCTCCAAAGTAACATCTTTTGACTTAAATTTTGAAGTCAAGGCATTTCAAAACACATAGATTAAATTAATCCAGTAGCATTTATAATCAAATATCTTTAGCATCTGATGTTCTTTTCTCAACAGTCAAACAATTCAAAGACAACACAATTACATACACTATTGAGACTCTATGTGTGTTTTCCATTGTTACATGTCTTTTTTCTTGCTCTATTTCTCTTTTAAGGAATTTCTCTATCCTTTTTCTTTTCTCTCCCAAGTCTACATATATTTTTAAACACACTGTAAACCATTTAGAATATTTTTTTTCCATTTGAATCTTTTTTCACTGTATATCTCTATCTTTTTCTGAGCACATGAGTCTTAATCTGCTAAGCAGCATGGCTAGGATTAAAATGACAGCTTTGGCAGATTGCTTTGCCCATTCCATGGTTTCCTGCAAGTCTAGTTTCATGGTGGAAGTACTGGCAAGAGCCACATTTATTGCCACAACTCTGCAGAGTTTTTCGGTCTATGCCACCACCAAGAAGAATACTGTTGGCTTCTCATAAATACAATTCAAGTGCTTGGTGGCAGGGCCTCTTAAAAGAGCTGCTATGTGGTTTTTGGTACCAATGCTGAGTCAGAAAGCCTTTCTTAAAGAGTCACGCCTCTGTTTGCCCCTAGCAAACAAAGCTCACCTGAGAAAACACTGGTTCTTTCATGTCTAGAGTCCCTTCCCAAGATCTCTTAGGGATTTATGTGGATGTAGTTGCCCCACAATGGGCACCATTTGTTGACAGAAGTTCCTCTCCCACATGGTCTCACAGCTGTTCAGTCCCCAAAAGACACGCAGAGGCTTATATTAATTATAAACTGTTTGGCCTATTAGCTCAGGCTTATTATTTACTAGCTTTTACACCTTAAATTACCCCATATCTCTTATCTATGTTTAGCTACGTGACTTGGTACCTTTTCTCAATAAGACATTTTCATCTTGCTTCTCTGTATCTGGCTGGTGACTGACTCTCTGTCTTTCCTCTTTTCAGATTTTTCTTTGTACTGCCTATAGTTCCTACCTGGCTACTGGCCAATCAGCATTTTATTAAACTAATACGAGTGACAAATCTTTACAGTGTATAAGAGCAATATCCCACAACACCACTTGTCTCCTTTGTCACATATGTCAATTATAAACCAGTAAATGCACTGCTTTGAGTTTCTTCAGTCATTCCAACAAATTATAGAAAATAAGCAGAGAATTGTGGGAATTCCCAATCTATCGCTGATGGACAGAGGCAAACTGCTTATAAACTGGTGTCTGAAGTGGGGGCCAGTCTTGAGGGTTAAGCTCTTAGCCTTTGGGGTGTGCACTAACTTTGGGTAGCTACTCTCAGGATTGAGTTAACTGATAGGGCACTTAGCTAGTATCTGCAGAGAATTATGGGAGCATAATAAAGATGGCTGGCTTTCCCTCTAAGATACCGTCAGCAGTGTATGAGGGGGCTTGCTAGCCCACACATTTGTCATGGTCTCAAGCTTTTTGATTGCTAGCATTTTTGTCCTGTTAATTGTTTTCATTCACATTTGTTCTATCCTTAGTGAGTCTTAAAGCTCTTCTTAATGATTAATTTATTTCTAGAATTTATTCCAGTGGAATTTTAATATACAGCATTGACAACTAAGGTCTGATTGATAGGTTTTTTTTTAAAAAAATATATCTTGTTTATTTTGCATTTTTTTTACTGCATTGGAATTAATTTCTAGAGTAATGTTAAGGAATAAAAGCAAAACTGAATATCCCTTTAAGTTGCTGATTTTAATGAATCAGTTATAATTTTTCTTTTTCATTGTATTTTAATTTTAGATAAAATACTACTACTACTATTATTACTATTATTATTGATAAAATATTACTCTTTATTATGTTAAGAGATACTGGTCTATCCTTAGTATATTTTAAAAGTAAAACAATGAAACAAATGGAAATCAATATGGATTTTTAACGAACGTTTTTCACATTGTGGGTCTGAGTGATCTGTTTTCTTACCGATAAGCTCTCTCTCTCTTTCTCTCTCTCTCTCTCTCTCTCTTACTCTCTCTTTCTCACTCTGTGTAGTTCTATATGCGTGTGTGTGAATATGTATGAAAGTCAGAGATCAACCTTCAGTGTCTTTCCTTAGGCACCATCCATCTTGTTATTATTTTGTATTATTATTTTATTTTTTTATGTATATGAGTATTTTGCCTTAATATGTATGCCTACGTATCATCTGTGTTCCTGGTGCCTGCAGAGGCCAGAAGGGGGCATCGTATTCCCTGGAACTAGACTTAGGGATGGTTCTGAGCTGCCATGTGAATGCTGTAGAAGAGCAGCCAGTGCTTTTAACTCCTGAGCCATCTCTCTAGCTCCCACCTTGTTTTTTGAGACAGGGCTTGCCAGTTAGGCTAAACCAGCTGGCAATGAGCTCCAGGGATCTGCTTGTGCCCATCCCTCTAGTGCTGTGATTATTCTGTTCTTTTACAGAGGTGCTGGAGCTCAAGTCTGGTCCTCAAGCTAGTGCCACAAGCACTTACCAGCTGAGCTCTCCAGCCCGCACCCCACTTTTAACAAAAGAACTCATGTATCCCAGGTTGGTTTTGAACTTGTTATGTAGCAGAAGATGATCTTGAACTTGTGATCCTTTTGGTTTCACCTCTCAAGTTTTGGCCTGTACTACCATGCTGGGTGTATAGGATGCTGTCAACCAGACCCAGGGCTTTGTGGATGCTAGGTAAACGCTGAGCCACATCCCCAGCTCAAGTTGTTTGATTTTAATTTTAATCAACTGAGCCATATCCTCAGCCCATGCTTTTTAATTTTAGCCCCCAGAGGAAGCCCCATCTCACTACCATGGGCATTTCTTTTCCACATATTTTATTGACCTTGTTATTGTTCAGTTTTCCCTTGCTGCTTCCTGTGTGTGTGCTGTTCCGGACAGGTCTTGTTATCAGAGTTTTGATGAGCTCATAAAATGAACTGAGTAGCTTTTCTTCTTCCCAACAAATTCCTCTCTGCTGTCCAAGTTCAGACCCTCTCCAGGACCTTTAGTGACCTTCAGTCGGTTCTTGGCTTTTTTCTTGCCTCTCACAGTGTTGTCTCTGGCATTTTTGCCTCTCCTTGAGTCTGGCTTCCCTGCCTGCACCCCAGCATCTTTGCTTCAACCTGAACTGGCCTCTGAGTGAACCCAGGGGAGGGGATTTCCTTGGCAGATGGAGGTTCTCCCTAAGCCCGTCCCACTTCCTGCAGGAGCTCTTCCAGCTGGGCTTCCGCCTTTGGCCTTCTGCAGCCTTGGCCTGCTCCTGGCCAACACATGTGTCCTGGCCATGGCTTCTCACAGACACAAACATTGGGACTAGGATGCACTTCCCCAGTTCACTGCTTAGAAATGGGCTGAAGAGTCTAGGAGTTCCCAAGAGCAACAGGTTTGAAGGGGTTTTACAAGGAGGCGGTAGCTTGTTCTGGCTGCTTCCAAAGGAGAAGGATTACAGGACAGACTCAAAACTGGATGGTACCTACAAGGGAAACAAGAATTGGATGTCTACCCACACACTTTGTGAGGGTCTGAGGTAGCCTGGCTGCACAATTCTGTAAGTCCCACAGTGGCTTTTTTCCTAGTCTTCGAAACAACTTGTACATCCAACCTTTCTGTCCAGTTCTCACTGGACAAAACCAGATGCTGAGGCCTGACTTATGCACTACAGTGCCTGGCTTAGGCTGACTCTCTTCTTGTGATCTCCCTGACGCCGTTTGAAGTCAAGGCCATGGCATCTAGAATCTGACTGATTTGAAGTTTGAATCCTGCACATGTCACTCACTAGTTATGTGACTTGGGTCACTCTGGCTTAGAGGCTGGAGAATGAGAGGCTGGGGTTAGATGATGCTGGCTCTCCTAATGAACAATGGACATTTACTAGTATGTGAGTGAGCAATAGAGTTCTTGAGTCTGGATAATAATAAAACATGCTCATTATAATCAAAGCAGTTACTACACGTGAGAACATGAACAAAAATGTATGATTCTATGGAGTTTACAGCAAGGCAAGATTGAGTGTTATAATGCACCACGTGACAGTCACCCCAAACCTTCTGTGGAAGGCCTTCTGGGGACATGGAAGCTTTGGCCTGGATGAGAGAGAGAGGCTGGGACAAGTAGTGTGTGAAAGCACTTGAGATGATGAGGAGTTGACCTTCTACTCAAAGGGAGAGAACTGAGTTCAGCAAGTTGGTGCAAACTCGGCCCAGAAGGGCCTATTAAGAACCATGGTCAGTGGTCAGGTTATGGCTAGAGGTTTGCTCATCCCTGTGAAGTGGGTGGAGGTGCCTGTAAGGGCCCCCAGGGGATTGGCTGGTGTTTTAGAAGATGAAATTGAGTGGACACATGGCCTCAAGCCCATGAACTCTTCCCTGTGGTGAGGTGAGGGTGGGGTGCAGTAGAGGGAGTGAGGGAAGGTGAGGGAGGGCCCCAAACTTGAGGCAGAGGAGCCAAGCGATCTTGGCTCTTTGGACGGGCGTGTGAGGAGGCAGTAGAAAATGACTGGGGAGCAATAAGTGCCAGAGCATTAATATTTATTTATTTACTTACTGTTTATTTAGTATAGCCTTGCAAAAGTCCCTTCCTACCTGGGGTTTAAATCCCTGAATCCGGCCTTAACCCCTCCTCCTTTCTGCAGTTTGTTGCTCTTAAGCTAAAGAATCACGAGTCCCGTTTGCCAAATATTTCCAGTTTTCTCCTCTTCCAGGCACGTGATAGGATTGCGCTTCTTGGCTCCCCGTGGCTGGCTGGAGGCGGAGTGATAATTTACGGCCAGTGGATTGTGCATGGGAGGACATACATCATTTCTGGGCTTGGGCATTTCATCGCCAGCGCAGGGCCTTCCACGAGGCTCTCTGCCTGCCAACAGTGTGGACGGTGTTCAAGATGGCCGCTGCTCTCCAGTGAGAAGTGGAACAGACCCCGAATGTGAACAGGGCGCATGAGGGAAATTCCCCTCTGTTGTCCTAAAACCCCTGTTTCTAGCTACACTGGCACTCCAATTTCGATTCCCCAAATCATGCTAATTTTCTTTCTTCAAGGTTCTGTGCCCTCTAGTGACTTCCTTCCTCCTTCCTTTCCTTTTGTTTGTCTCTTTCCTTCCCCTCCCTCCTTCTTCTGTCCCTCTCTCCCTTCTTTCCTCCTTTTTTCCTTTTGCATGTGTATGTGTAGGTGAACATGGAGGCCCCAAACTGCTGTCAAGTTTCTTCCTCAGTTGCTCTCCACCTTATCTCTTGAGGCAAAGTCTCTCCCTAAATCAGGAACTGCTAATTATTACTAATCTAGCTGTCCAGCTTTCCCTGAGGGTTCTTGCCTCTGCCTCCTGAGGGCTGGAATTATTAATCACAACACCGGCCTGACTTTATGTGGGCATTGAGGGTCAATACCCTGGTCCTCAGGTTTGTGTGGCATGCGTTTTATTACTGGGCTATCTTCCCTAGCTCTTACCACTTTTTTTTTCTTTTAAAGTCTGCTTATCATCCTTCAGACACACATCCCTGGTCCCTTGGGCTACATGGGTGGTGCTTAGTTTCATTCTTGAGACCTTTAAAATCCCTTCTTGGACTATGGCGGAAATGCAGGCTTCTCTCAAGCAAGACTGGAGGTTGGAAGCGGAGAGTGTGTGGTGGCCAGTGGCCAAGGTGGTTCCTGTCACCTCTACTTTCTTATTCACGCTCTGTGGATACCTGCCTCCTCCCCGGTAGGGTGGGCTTGTGTGATGGTTATGACACCAGTGGTGGTGTGTGGCTTCCAAGATCAGGTGAAAGGCATCGATTTTGGTCTTGGTCATTCTTTCCACCTTGCATGATTTGCTTCGTGAGGAGTCATGTCACCAGAAGTCACGTGAAGGATCTTGAGATAGGGGCTCCTGATCCAAACAAACCTCTGATGATTCTAACCTTGTTTAATCCTTGATAACAATCTTGACAGAGACCATGGTCTAGACAACCCTGTTAAGCAACTCCTGAATTCCAGACTTCATAGTAAACATGTGTTGTTCCAAGCTACCGAGTTTAGAAGAAACCATATGTAGCAATAAACAGCTAATACAGGCAATGTGACTGGAAGAGTATCTTTGGGACATCAACGTGTGGTAAGGATGGTGACAACAAGTGTCCTTTTAGCCCAGATAGACCCCTTGTTCTGGGATAGACTTAGCCTCCTTGGTAGTTCCAAAGGCCAGGTTTCCCAGAAGCCCTTGTGAATAGCTGTTGAGGGATGGCACTTCTCTCAGGAGAAAACAGAACCAGTAAAAACACATTTCAGTGTCTATACCTTAAAAAATACCTTAAGGTCTCATGGGGACCATTTAGCCTTGAAATTGCTTCTGTAGCCAAGGATATCCTCAAATTTCTGATCCCCCTGCATGCTGGGATCCTGTATTCTGATCCTCATGCATCTACCTGGATGCTGGGGCTTCAAGATTATGTCACCATATTTGATTTATGCCATGATGTGGCTAGAACCCAAGGCCTTGTGCATGTAGGCAAAAGCTCCACCAATTGAGCTATAGCCTCAGCAACGTCAAGGTGAATCAAGAGACTTGCTCAGGCCTGCTCTGTGCTTCAGGGGTTTCCAGAACAAGATAAAGCCAGTTTATAAAAAATGTGAAACATTGGCACAGCAGCCACATTCCCTGAACCTTACTGGGTGTGACACACAAGGACAGAGCCTACATGATATCACCAGAGTCTCATGTGCCAGCGGTGGGGCTGACAGGGAGGACCAACCTCAGAAACTAGAGCTCCATAGAGACGCATGTGTCCACTACCAGCAAAGATGACCCGTGGGGTGCCTTCCACTGGAGTGACCATGTTAAGGGGTGGTGTGAGCTGGAGAACCCTGAATTATTGTTCAGACCCCCTCAGTTATGCTCGGAGGTTTGCAAAAGATAAGGAAACACATCATCTAGACATAACCATGAGCAATGCCTCTCCACTGCTTCAGTGCTTCCCACGGTGAGGACAGACAGACATGGGTCAAAGGGTGTGAGTTCAGTGACATGGATGGGATGGCACGCTCCTTTCATCCCAACTTTGGAGGAAGAGTTCAAGTCAGACCCTTTTACATAGTTTCAGGCCAGCCAGGACTACACAGCGAGAGTCTGTTTCAAAAAAAAAAATACTTTCTTTTATCTCCAGCTAGACCTGACGTTCAAGAGGTCTAGTGTATTACAATACAGTGATTTCAGCTGACAGGATATTTTCTCACAAACTCTAGAAGAGTTTTCACATTAAAGAAGAAAGGTAAATGTGTGAAGAAAAGGGTATGTAAATCGCTCTGATGGAGCCGGTCCACAACACACCCTTAGATCAAGCATCATGTTGTATGTTGTAAATATATAGACTTTTGTCAATCAAATTATTTCATTTTAGAAAAGTCGGCATGATGAAATATTGAATGATTATAATATAAATACATTTGAAAAATTGAGCTTAAGAAAAAGTAGCTAGTATATATCAGACTCTGAAGTAAATGGCATGATATTTTGGAAACTTTGTAAAGTGGATATTATTTGAATTTCATAGGTGAGGAGTCAAGCATTCTATAACTTGCTTCTTCCAAAGTGGAATCAGGGGCCACACAGGTAGATGACAGCCACCAGGGAAGGCACCAGGGAAGGCACAGTCTTCTTGTGCCCCCATCTGACTTGGAGCATCTAACTTGTGTTATGTTGTAGGATCCTGAAGCTCTGGCCCTTTGCTGGGTAGGTCTCCTGGAAAGAAGCCCTTGGCACTGCTGGGCCCAAGGCTCTTGGCTAAGGGCAATGGTCTGTTTTTATCCACAGAGTCAGCAAATGTATGGGTGATTTATAATGGCCATTAGTGGGGTGCATTTAAGGCCAAACACAAATCTCCTCCTCTTTAGCTCTGCACAGCTCTATGCAGGAGCAAAGAGGAGTAGAATTTCTGGAATCGGACTAATCAAAAAAGGTGGTCCTGTCACTTTAAGACTTTTAGGCAGTTTCAGAAAGGAGGTATGAGGAATGACAATATGAGAATACTTAATTCTGCTAGACTATGTTTTTAAAAATGTCTACTCCTCCACAGTGAGATGGGTTTTTTGTTTGTTTTTCCTTTTTAATTTTTGTTTCATTTTTACTGTTTTGTTTTCCTTTGGGGGGGAGGTTTCAAGGATGAAGGGTGGATATGAAGGAACAGAGAGATGAGGTGGATTGAAGTGTATTATGCAAAATTCAATAAGAATCAATAAAAAGTTAGAAAACGACTACAATAGTTTTGTTGTGTAGTTCAGAGGACCGCTTTATGGAGGTGATAGCCTCCTTCTGTCATATGGGCTCTGGGATGGAACTCAGTCGTCAGGCTTGGTGGCCAGAGTCTTTCTTGACGAACCATCTCACCAGCCCTACATTGATAAATGCTATGCCATATGTATGAGTTCTTACCACAAGTAGATGTTAACGAATAAAACGAGGATACTAGGAAAATCGCCATCATCTAGAAAATGGGATTGTGGAAGGAAGTGCCTACTGTAACGGTGGTAGGAGAGGAAGGTAGAAAACTAAGGGGCACAGGAGGCAAAGAGGTAGTCCCTGGGGCTCTGGTTTGTCTTTGCTGTGGTGCCAGAGAGTTGTGAAATTTCAACACAAATGATACAGCCAAAGTCCCTGCAAGGTTCCTGCTTTCCTAGAGGCATGTCATTTAAGGTTCTTGCTTTCCTAGAGGCATGTCATGCAAGGCTCATGTTTTCCTAGAGGCATATCATGCAAGGTTCATGCTTTCCTAGAGACATGTCATGCAAGGTTCACGCTTTCCTAGAGGCATGTCATGCAAGGTTCCTGCTTTCCTAGAGGCATGTCATGTAAGGTTCATGCTGTCCTAGAGGCATGTCATGCAAGGTTCATGCTGTCCTAGAGGCATGTCATGCAAGGTTCCTGCTTTCCTAGAGGCATGTCAAGCAAGGATGTACAGATAACTAATGAGCCGAGCTGACTGGGCCAGGAGGAGTTTTGCAGTCCCTAAAACTAAACACTGCTCTTCATAAAACTGCCTGACAGTTTCATTCATAGGAGGAAACTCTTGAAGATCAAAACGAGGTAACCCCAGCACATGTTTATTTTGTTATGTTGTCTCATGCAGACCAGATTGGCTTCAAAGTTGCTCTGTAACTGAGGATAACCCTGAACTTTGGAGTCCCCTGCCTCTATCTGCTCAGTACTGAGAAAGGTGTGTGCCCCCATGTTGGCTATCACACTACTTTAACAATGGACCTCAGGGAATGGGAGTTTCCCCAGGAATCTCATGTTGGAGAAAGGAAAGGCCAACTCCTGGTGCCAGTCAGGAAGAGATGTCACATGGGGTGACTTCTTGTCAGCAGGACAGCCTGGAGCTGAAACAATAATAGACCACAGCTGGCCAGGATTCCGTAGTTACAGTGCCCATAGCCACATGCCAGTACCCTGATGATGGACTAGGCTGGTCCCTGGACCACTTTACTGCCTCTGTTCCCAGCTGCAGTCGAATGTGCTTCCCTCCATGTTTCACTGCATTTTGTCTGCACACTTGGCCCGTTGAGGATGGGTAGCAGATCTGAACTGCCAGCCCAGGCTCTGACCCCAGTGACCACAGCAACTCAGGTAACAAGTGGGACCCAATGGCATTGTGGGCATCACTCCTGGGTTAAGGAACAACCCCAACAGAGCTTTCTTATGCCTGTCTCTCCACATTAAAACTCTACACATTAAAACTGTAGCAAAGTACAGGAAGTCAGCAAGGGAAATCAGTCTGAGACCCCGAGAGCTTACAGTAGGAGGCCTCTGTTCTTCTGTTGGGCCTCGCCTGTCGGCCTCCACGCTCTCAGAGGCAGCCCCCTCCTGAGGCTTGAGAATAGCTTAGGACTGAGTTAGGAGTCTTGACTACTCCTGAAAGGTGGAAGGACTTGGGGGCTGAGCTGGGCAGCTGGGAGGGTGATATGGTTCTTGGTTTTGTTCCTTGACAAGAGAAAGATCTTAGAGGCCCAGGCCTCATCTTAGAGACATGGAAACCTGAGAAACATGTGATTGCCAGAACTTTGGGAGCTCTTAATCCTTTCCAATCCTCTGAAATGTATTTAATGGTCCCTCTTCTGTCCAGTCT